TTTTAGTGTGTGTATATATAGTGTTTCTATTAAGGGACACCGGAACGTCCGAAGACTACAGGGGCACAGGGCCAGGGTAATGGGTGGCAGGGAGTGGGTGTTTCTCACCCCGGTCCCCCACCCCCACCCCACCGAGAAAGTTTTGAAATTTTGATGCAGAAACGATGAGATCAGACGTCTTCAAGTCCGGTTACTATTTAAACCACATCAGATCAACTCAGAACTCTAGATACAAGAACCGATTTGGTGCACTTCGACCAGAGAGAGAGAGAGAGAGAGAGAGAGAGAGGGAGAGCTGTTTATATCGGGACATGACATGTCTTTATTTCAATAGTTAGCTTGTGTCTTTAGATGTGGGAGAAAACCTGAATATCAGTTAAACAGGCGATTCCAAGTCCTTGTCACGTACAGTCGCGGATCTGTTAGGCAAAAGAGTTAAGACATGTATGTTCTATTATGTCCTCGTTATTTAACATTCCAATTAAGGAATTCGAGGAAGGGTTGCGTATATATATTTTTAAAAATATTTATAATATAATATATGTTTAATTAAGAGGTGTTTCAGATTATATGGCTTATAAATGTCTGTTAGACACAAGTGTTTTAGATTATGTGTGTTTCTCTGAAATAAATTTCCAATTTCTTTCCTCCTAATTTATTCTTTTGACATTTTGATGATACTAGAAAAGATTTACACAAGTATATTATTACACATTTAACCTCAAACAACTAATGAGATGCACTAGACTCGTCTTTTGAGCGGTTATTGATGAGATTCAAGAAGCTCAATAAAGATAAAATAGGTGATTCACAAGGTATAAAGCAGGGGTCTATATTTATCCCCCCCCCCTTTTCAATGTATTTAACCAAAGACACCGTTGAAAGTGAAAAGATCACACTTGACATGACAAAGGGATGAAATAGATAATTGCATAGGTAACTAGAGAAGATTGATTTTGTATGTTAATGGCTTTCCTCCAAAGTACGATATTTTACACCCATCTTGATACATAAAATATAAAAAGTCTCCAAGATATCTGATAAGCAGTGACAACTCAGTAACAGAATCGCTCGTCTTGATAAAGAAGTGATATCTGGTGTACCTTATTGTACTAAAGTCAGAGTTTTTTTTATAATTTCATAAAAAAATATTTGAAATTCTGAATAATTTATTCACCCAGAAATTCCGAATTATTTATTCACCCAGCACCTAATTTTTTTTTACATGTTCAGAAATTTTAATTTTAATATATAGATAAAATGAAAACATACACACTGAAGTCAGTTAGAATTTTGTTAAAGTAACTAATCGATATCAAAAACACACTTTTATGGATAACAATTACTATGGTTTATTTCACTGCGACGTTTCAACAAGGTTTCACAAGTCGTTATCAAGCATATATACAAATAGATAAAAAATGAGAAAGATATGAATATAAATACAAACATCAGTGCGAACTATCCAATGGAATGCAAGGTGAGTGAGCATGATTAGCTATAACAAGCTATTGATGTAACAAAGGTGCATAATCGTATATATTAGAGTTGGCTTATTGTACAATTAAAAGATGAAACAGGGCATTAACCAAGATTAACAAATATTGAAACCATACACAGTGTACCATAACTGAAGCCAGTATATACTAAGATTACTAAATAAACACACATAAAGATCAAACTGGGGGTTTATAGAATTATATCAAACCATAATGTTTACATTGATTATAACAGTTAGGAAATATAATTATATTACACAGTTCTGTAACTGAAGTTTCAAAGAGCTCCGAAGCTTGAAAGGGGATAATGGTATGTTTTCAAAACTGAAGAGAGAGAGAGAGAGAGAGAGAGAGCGGCTTTAACGTCTACACTCAACATGTCATGTCGGGACTAACAAATGGTATATTCCATTTTAAGTCTTTTTATCAGTCAGAAGAAAATCCACGCCTTGTCACACCAAACCGGAGATCGGAACTACAACACTTGACTCAATGTTGCCGTGATGAATCTTATTATATATAGCCCGCGCGCTATATAAACCACTCGACTACCCAAGCTCCCGAGTGCCGAAGTTTTCATCATTTTTCGTGTGTGTTTCTGATGAATTATTAGATATTTAGCATAATATGCATTCATTTGTGTAAATTGTACTGCGTATTATATATTATTGATACGAACTTAAATTTAACTCCGGATAATCGCTACTTAACTTTTTAAATGAATTTTGTACCATGTAGATTTCTTTCAAACGACGTCACGCCTTTTTTAAGTGAAAAATTGTTCGCACGTCATTGTCATACCATTAGCTTTTATAACTGAGATAACCATTTCTGACTAGATCTGATCATTTAATCAAGTAATTGTTGGGTTATGCAAGAAAAACAATCCTGTTTAGGTAAGCGATATGCACCTGCTTTGTTTAAACGAACCCGGGGGTCATTCTTTTAGAAGGAGAAAGAACAATTAAAATTCATAATTTTCTCATGTCTTTCTCACAAAACATATACCACCGATGGTGTTATATAGATAACCTTTACTTTCTTTCCAACCATTTTTTGAAAAATAATGGAAATGGATACATTTAAATCTGTCAAAATATAGCTTATCTATGAAATGCACCAACCGGGCTATCAGGGGATCTTTAACGTGATGCCAATGGGGAAATCCCTGATTCCAACCAGTTGTGAGCTAATGCCTCTTCATAGTTTTTTCCATTAATACCCTAAGCTGGAAGTCGTATGAAAACTTCTGATACTTGCATACATTACGTCAGTTAAATGCAAAGGCACGAGAGAAATAGATAGCTGTAAATGGAATTCTCAAATAAATTAAGAAATGGTTACAGGTTTTCAAGAAACAGTAGATCCTACACCTCCTCTACACCACTTAAAACAAAGTTGCTAAGAAGAATTAATTTTGTAAACAAACATATCTTCCTTACGGGCGAGCTATTCAATACGTCAGAGAAAAGAAATGTATTGATGCTATCGTATTAAGGGTTGACATTGATATTTCTGTCACTGGTCTTAGATGGAAAAACATAATCAAAACGTAACGTATGTCTAAAATAATAATATAATGAAAACTTTCTGTTTATCAACTCGTCATATGATGAATTTACAGGTGAATTCAACACGCCTGAACAATTTATCATCATACGAGTTACCCCCCTTATATCTCCCCTTCGAATCTGTTCATTCAAACTGGATTTTGCGGAATATTTGTAACGTTCAGTTATTGTGTTAAACAATAACGTTCACAGAATTGACAGAATTATTTTAACATTGGAATGTCTCTCTGAAAATATACTGAAATGATTAATTACTATACATCTCCTTAACGTCATTATTAGAATTTATTGAAAAGGTGTATGTGCACGTTTGCAAAAAAATCAGTCCTTCCAAGGGGTATGCTGTAGGTAGTCCAAACTTAGGGCACTTTCGGAGAGGGCAGAGTCTGACAATTTTTGATTCTGTGGCACGTGCCAGAATTGATTTTACGTCAATCTGAGCCATGGCAGACCATACATTGACACTTGGTTAAAGGATTATGATTAAGTCATGACGGTCTGAACAGGAACAATCAAGAACTAAACGACCCCTGAGTAAAGAAAAACCAGCATCAAATGGGATTGGTATTCCTTACAAAGGGTACCTGCCAAGTTTCATTCGATTCTGTTCCGTAATGAGGAGGTGGGGGGGGGGGGGGTAGATTATCGAAAGTAAATTGACACAACCCCAAGAACAAGAAGACTATCAAGATTTAGGCACTCACTTTAAACCAAGGAGAGAGAGAGAGAGAGAAATGGGGTTTAACGTCCACTCGACACAAACTAGGTCATTTCGGGACAAACATATGGTTTTAATTTTATTTACATAATTCGCTTGCACGTAGGGGTCTTTAGCAGTGGGAGGAAACCGGAGGACCCGGAGAAAACCCACGAGGTTGGACAGGCGACCCTACTCCTTGCCACGTACAACCGGGGATTCGAAACCACGCCAGTCGACTCAATGACAGACTTTATGATACAGAGCGCGCACGCTAACCATTCACCCATCCAACCCCCCTTAAACCAAGGAAGTAACTGGTAAAAGATAATGCCAGTAGGGTTTGAGGTAACGGTTAGCATGTTATTAGCCTTGAGTATGCTAACCGCCAAAAATTTTCCCATCGCCCGTGTTGCAATTTCCAATTTTTTTTATTTTCCTAAATTCATTTAGATAAATGAATAAAATTAAGACAAATTAATTGATTCTAAATATTATGGAAATATTAATCTGGCAGTGAAATCGAATCTGGAAGCCATCCGTGGAAATTAGGGCCGAATTGAGCTTGCATGGGGCCCTTGCATCAACAGTGAAAAACGAACATGTTCTGTACTCGCATTGAGCGAGATTAGTTTTTAGTATCTCTGGATTTGGTTGGAACAAGCTAATGGCAGCAGAAAAGAGGGCACCATGTTGTCATTAGGGCATTTCCTTGAGTATTTGAGGAAACTCTGTCGAAATTCGAGGGCACTTTTTCAGAAGAGAGGGCTTATTTTCGGAAGGGAGGGCACATCGCCACATACACTTGTATAGTCTTTACCCTGGAACCAACCAGTTCCAGTTTCTTTTGTTTTTGCATTTATGAGGGCAGGGTGGTGAGTGGTCTAGTGGTTTAACGCGTGCGCGTGAAATCACGACGTCTGTCATTGAGTCAAGTGGCGTGGTTTTGATTACTCGCTTGTACGTGACAAGGAGTAGGATCGCCTTCCAGCCTCTTGGGATTTCTTAGGATCCTCCGGTTTCCTCCTACTGCGCGCTAACGAATTATTGAAATAAAATTGAACCATATGTTAGTTCCGAAATGACCTACTTTGTATCGAGTGGACATAAACTCTCTCTCTCTCTCTTTCTCTCTCTCTTTCTCTCTCTCTCTCTCTCTCTCTCTCCAGGGTTGCCAGTACGTGCATATACTGTTAGTGAGCTTGATCAACATTCAAAAATTGAAAAACAAAATTAAAGTTTAGTTTACCCTTTAATACAATATTTATTTATTAGTATTATTATTCTTATATACAAATCCCATAAAATACAATATAAAATAATATTATTACAATTATTGTTAAAAAAATATAATTTGATTTGTCTAGCCTAACGAAACGACATACACAAGGCATATAAACTGTATAACTCAGCACTCACTTGTTGCTGTGCAAGGGCATGTAAGGGCTCGTCTATAAACATTTACTATTCTCTGTGTTTATTATATACACCATAAACATAACAAAAAAACAAACAGTTCATGAATATAACAAAACGAATATTGAACATATTTTCATCAATAAAAATAATAATGCTTTTGTCCATAATTTTGAACATTAAAATGACAAAAACTCTCTGATTTCGTTTAAAATGAAATTGTCGATTTCATTATAGAATTGTTTTGTGGGATGACATTCGGCCCTCTTTGGCAATATTTCGTCAATAGATAGGCCTAAAGCAGGTGTTAACATATAACCGACTTTGTGTTCGGCTTTTAAACCAAAAATGTCTACTTTCGCTTAATCATTCCGAATAAAAACAGAATCATACAGTTTGTCAATCACTAATCGAATAACACATCCGATCAATCCAATTTAATATTTTATTTTACCGAAATCAAAGAGGTTTAGTCCCATTAACAATACTTTTGTCACAATGAATACGAAAATAAGACTCTGCATTAGCAGATCATTTAGTCAGCAGATTATTAGTCATCTCACTGTTCAAGCAATTACAATGCTACTCAAAGAATCCTTCATTCTCCAGCAGGCTTTAAAACGTCGAATATGCGATGAAGTCCTATAGGGTTTTTCATTTAAATGATTCCTATAGTCTGTTCAATGTAAAAGTAGTTTCTGACCGATGCTTTTCTAAATTTAGATGCATCAGATTTATAATAGAATTAGGAGAATGTATTCTGTGTTTTAGTCATCCATATTTAAAATGTTATTATTATGCATTATTGCACAGTTTTGACAACGTAATTATGAAACACATACGTATTTTTAGTTTTTAGTTACGTAGAACTTTCACACAGAAACTCGCGGAAACATCACATTTATCTTTTCTGGAAAGCAATGGTGTTAACGTATTGCGTCTGGTTAGATGCCAGCCAAATCACTTCTTATCCAAATTTCAATCAAATCATAGATCTTTCGTAGCACATGAATGAGCCAGTCATTCTGTTTCGTTAACTGGGCCGCTGAATTTATTTACACCTAGCAAGAGTCAGCGAGCCGATGCGTTTCTACGATGAACATTTTTACAGGCAACGAAGCCGTTTTTTTTTGTTTTTTTTTAAAATATTAAAAGTTTCAATATTATGAAATTGTTTAGTTATACTATAACTTCATGAATTTGTAACACAATATATGTCGTAAACTTGATTAAGCGATTTAGCAATCTATCGTAATGGCGGTGGCGGTGGAGGGGGTGGGGGTGGTGGAGCAACGGGCACAGAACTAGAATTCGGCACTCCATCATTCATCACAGAATCAAATGCTGCAGACAAACTTCCGGGTTCATAATCTAGTTCCGGGTCATCTCTCGGGATGATTTCAGGGTCTTGTTCTGTAAATTGTACGGCACTGGGCCTTCTGTTCTCTAAATAGCGAGATGGAACACTTAAACTGTCGGAATCATAACCGTCAGATGATCGAGATGGTGGTCGTCCTGGAAAGAGAAAAACAAGTCCTTGAAATTGAATGTTATTTTAAGCCAACTACTGTAACTCGACTGTCTATCAGCTTGTAACCTGTTGACATTTTAGGGGGTTCTACTACACAGCTAGATGGAGTTCTGATATACCACATGGGCAATGAGTATACCATATAGGGTCATATTTGGACATTTCATTGAAACCATTGGACGGATTCCAAACATATTTGGTAGGTATGTTACCTGCTTTGTGATTATTCAGAGTTAATTAAATTTAGGCCTTTTCCGTACATCCCCCCCCCCCCCATTGTGATAAGGTGTCAACTAAAATGTGTCATGCCTATTCCGATATATTTGTTCAGTCCAATGACGGAGGGACAAATTAATGAAAATTTAAATCCCCTTTGGCCTTTTCTTTTTCTAAACCACTTAATGCATTCCAATCACATTTGGTAGATCGTATGGCAATGTTGCTTGCACGGCAATTTATCCTGATATTTTAAGTTTTAACTTACCAATGCTACTGCTATCCGACGCCGGCCTTTGTCGTCTGTTTTTAATTTCTGCAATAACTGCATTGTGTAATGGTGATACTCCTGTCATGGGAGACTTTTTGACATGAGATATGCTGGGTGAATCAGTGATACTTTCTGATGGTTTTTTTAAATATTCACTAAGATCTTCATCTACAGGAGTTATAAGACCGGGAACGGGGGTAGGTGGTCTATGAACGGCACTTATATAACTTGGTTTGGAGGGGTCAGGAATGGTTGGTGGTGGAGGTGGGGGAGGCGCAGGGGCTGCAGACATATCTGGAGGTCTTGGAGTTGATTGCAATACGTCAGGCCTCGAGTATGGCGAACGAATTACACCCTGTCCATCTGAGATTGATTGAGCATCGAATTCGGGTGTTGGTGGTCTTGGGCTTATATATGGTTCATTAGTTGATTTGTCTGGTTTTGGAGGATACACCAAGCCAGTGTTATTTCTATAATCTGCTATTGGTGTGATGTATTCGTCTCTTGGCGTTTCATCACGTATCGTTGAAGGCATTTCAGTTATAGATCGAGGGGTTAAATAATCTTCTCTAGGTGTTTCTAAGGGCTGATTATCAACATCATCATTTTGATTCCTGCTATACGATCTGAAAGCACTGTTATTTGATTGGCGTTCAGATGCTGGCACTATGGGAACAAATGTGGTCTCGTCGTGAAGGGAATGCGTTAAACTGTGCGGTCTTGGTGGTGGCTGGGTCTCAAAATTTGACGGATTGAGAATTATGTCCCCTGGTTGAGCTGCTATTGTGTTTTCTTCAGATCTGTTTCTGCTGTTACTCCTGCTTCTCGCACGAAGATCATCTTTTGACCCCTTGTATCTATGGTTACCATTTTTTCGATCAGGATTGCGTTCATATTTTCTATCACGTGATTTAGAACGTGACCTATCGCCGGGATTTCTAGATTTTACTCTGTTTCCATTTTCATCTTCGGACGAATCGAAATCAATCTGAAAACAGAAATTTCGTAAATCGTATGTCTAATGGAAGATACGAATGGCGAAATTAAATCTGATTTTAGGCTATATGTTACCTGGTATTATTTATGATTTACTGCCATGGAAATATATTTTTCTGCGAATGTATAGAGCAGATTTACGCTTGTTAAAAATTTAATTTTTGTATACATTATTAATATCTGAACACGCTTATAGAGCGTAGACAGCTAGCTTATATGATTTAATGTATGTCAGAATGAAGTAAGTGGTGAATTTTTTACCGCGACATATTTTATATATATATATATATATATATATATATATATATATATATATATATATTACTGTATTCGCTTGATGGATTTTCTGTGATATCATCTATGGTGGAATAGAACATTAAGTTTTACCAACGAACGAACTTTATGGATTATTCTAACTGCTTTTTGGACTGGCGTACATACTTTATAGATTAATTTAATTTTATGGAATGGTTTAATTGTTTTTTTTTTATAAATTTATAGATTTTATTATGTTGTCGAGGACATCACAATATAGTGTACGAGTACATATAGTCGATGTACTCTTTTTGAAATACAAGAATATACTACTTTGTCATAGATACATCATAGATACCTTGTCACTCTGTGTAAAGAACTTTAAATGTGAATCCCTTTCTGATAGATGGTACTATGTTTTATTTCTGTTAACATAATTCATATTATAAAACAGAACATACTATACCAGAAGAACAAAATCAATACCGATTAGAACTAAGTGACCTTCCATCAATGATTTATAAGGATTCGGACGAAATAACTTCTGATCAATTTTAATAAGCTGTAAACAAACTTACTCTTTCTTCAGCACTGCGAAGTTCTCTGTAAATAAAGAAATAACCATGTATTATACTAATCATTTTAAAACGTGGAAAACTTTTATCAGTATTGTGTGTTTTTAAGATATTTTATAAATCCATTTATCGATAAGGAAGTATTTTCGTATGTGGCTACATAATATTTCTTTAGTAAAACTAACAAGAAAAAAAGACTACTTACTTTATCTTTAGAGAACCAGTTATTTGTCCATTTGCTGTAAAATAAAAAAATATAAAGGGTTACAAGATGGTAATACCAGGTTTAAGTTGACCTCATGTTTAATTATTAACCAATGTATTCTTTAAACCCGTCTATCTCTAAAGTTTAAACCTGATTAAATCTAAAAGAATAATATAGATCTATTACATATTTCACATTAAACAAATCTTCTGAACATAACAATTAATTACATTATCAAGCAACCGTTTTGCAGTAAATAAAAGCAAGTACATGATGGGCATAGGTTTGCCAATCCCCCCACCCCACACAACTCATTCCTATACAAGCAGTTCTACCTTTCAATGAACGACGATTTTTAGCTCTGTCTTTTGTTGTAGATCTAAGACTACCGATGCCCTTTTCATCTAAGTACATAACTGGACCTCTGGGTTCATACATGAAAGGCATACCAACGGGCATCAACTGTTGTGGTTCTCGTTGACTTCTGACAGTATAGAACGTCACAGGTGGTCGAGGCCGAGCGGTTGGTCCATACGATCTAAATTTCATGGTCATGGGAAATCGTTGATACCTCGGTACCGCGCCAGTAGTCGGTACCACGATATCCATTGAATCTTTTTCATCTTCGTCATTTCTCTTTCTGTGAAATAGAAAAATAAATTTGCTCAAGAAATAGTGTATTTAACAGAAATTGTGTTTATAATACCAAATGATTATGTATGCAAGAAAAGAAATATTCGAATTGAGTTGTCTCCCCTTGATCAGACATCTTGCGACCAAAATGGAGAGTGCTGCAAGTGAGAGAGAGAGAGAGAAATGGGGTTTAACGTCCACTCGACACAAACTAGGTCATTTCGGGACTAACATATGTTTTTTTAAAATTTTTATTTACATAATTCTATTGCGCGTAGGGGTCTTTAGCAGTGGGAGGAAACCGGAGGACCCGGAGAAAACCCACGAGGTTGGACAGGCGACCCTACTCCTTGCCACGCACAACCGGGGATTCGAAACCACGCCAGTCGACTCAATGGCAGACTTTATGATACAGCGCGCGCACGCTAACCATTCAGCCATCCAACCCCCCGAGTGCTGCAAGTGTAGTCGTTTATCTTGCTGAGCTTCAGCTGCACGGTGGGATAAACCAAATATTGTATATTATAATTGTGGCCTACAATTTTTACATAGACTCATACATATATAAACATGGATTTATGCATCACGTCACCAGTATGTAAGCTCTGTAGTCTTTATCGCCCAATATTTTAACAAATACTGGGACAAAGACTTCTTCAATCCAAAGAACTGCAACCTAGATTAATGAATTATGTTTAAGTAACAGCGAATGTCGAGCACAAAGAAAATTCAATATATGTGTTTAAATGGTATTATGATTTGCATCTGTGAATTGCTACAGGTTTATCACTTGTATCCGTACCTTTCATAGTAGAAGTCCATCATGTTAAAAATATACTGTGGGTTTAACATAACACTAAATAGTTATAGAAATATAATGTAGACTTACCTGACAAAACAATAAATACTTATAGAAATAAGAGCCACAACCAATAATCCTCCCGCTACAACCCCTGCTATTATTAATCCCGTTAATCCTTCCTCTACCGCCATTACACCTGAAATATACAAAATTATATATCTGATGAAAAGTGACAAGGACACACTAAAACAAACTATTTAATTTATCTACGGTTCTTACAGCTCCAGTGATTTGGTCTCAATCGATGTGTATTACTTCAAGGTTTCAACTCCAAACACCTTTCTTGTGCCATCTGCCCTATTCAATATTGAAGCATCGTATTCTTTTTAGACATAAAGCTTTCTGTACAATACGCAACGCATTTTATCTCCCCAACCATCGTTGATCCTCTCACCCTGCCTACATACTGGTGGCGATGAGCCTACTAGATGATAGTTTCAACCTAACAAATAGCAAATGAAATGAAATGGGGTTTAACATCCTGGTCTTCTGCACCGATTGGGCTAAAGTATGGCGGATAAAGGGTATATATGCATTTGTGAAAAAGCCTTCTTATATCAAGGTTATGCTTGCAATATTTTGAAATTACCAATTGTGTTGTAGAATTTTGTGCATGCTCCCTGGACTTATTACATAAACATTAAAAGGACGTTCCATAAAACAACAACATGCATTGGGCAGCGTGTTTAGTATTTATAAACATATACACAAGATGCCATTTCTCGCGTTTTCGCAAGCTAACAATTTCTGTTTTCCTTTTGTAAATATACAGTTATACGTTCATATTATATCAATAAATGGACGCCTCCTCAAATAACCAAACATGCATGGGGTTTACTATTTGTAGAACATTTGACAGTACAGAGTAATAAAGTTCAAATTGCCCTGGTGATAAGAACTACGTTGTATTACATTCTCTACACCGTGTACGTGTTTAACCCTTCGGGTACAAATTATTATCATGTAAAAATAATTCTAAACAATAGAGAGAAGGGAACATAACATTTTGTTAAGATTAGAATGAAATATATAGGACAAGCTATTGATTAGTTTGGCCTAAGGTAATGCTACCGGTAATTAAGGTGCCATGATAGGTAATACTGATCACGACATATCTATCTTAATAATTCATTGTCTTTGCCTTGATAACTATATATACACATGGCCAACGGCAGCATGTGAGAGAGAGAGAGAGAAATGGGGTTTAACGTCCACTCGACACAAACTAGGTCATTTCGGGACTAACATATGGTTTAATTTTATTTCAATAATTCGCTTGCGCATAGGGGTCTTTAGCAGTGGGAGGAAACCGGAGGACCCGGAGAAAACCCACGAGGTTGGACAGGCGACTCTACTCCTTGTCACGTACAACCGGGGATTCGAAACCACGCCAGTCAACTCAATGACAGGTTTTATGATACAGCGCGCGCACGCTAACCATTCAGCCGTCCAACCCCCCCGGCAGCATGTGTAAAATAAACTTTAAATAATATACTTATCTGTGTACAAATGATAATTCAAAAGCTAATTTTTGGAATGTAGCAGTATAGTAGAATTTATAACTTAAAATATAGTCATTACTTGGTATATTTAATTTAATCCCCTCGTATCAATTGGTGGCGGCGGTGGTGGTGGGGGGGGGGTATTAATAGAAAACGGGGGCTAATCAATGGACAAAAGTGGTATGCAATTTCATTGAATGCAATTTGATGAATGCAACATATCACGATACTTTCAATGAGTACTGGTTACGTAGAATACATAACACATTGGTATAATAACAATGCATACCACATTGGTATAATAACAATGCATACCACGTTGGTATAATAACACAACATAACAGTGATATAATAACATATAACACTAAGTAAGCGCGATAGACCGAATTATCTAGCTAAAATTAAGACAGTGTTTGTATAGTCTGCATTATGTTTGAGTATGAAAACCAGGGTAATAGACTGAAAGTTGTACGTTGTTGACCTCACTTAGTCTTATCCCTATATCCATTAGGCCAAAAATATAAAATATGGATAGATCATAATATTAATCTTTAAAGGGGGCGGATAAATCAGATAGGACATTTTCGACATACTTTCAACAAATGACAAATGACTATTTCGACATATTTTATTTGTGAATTTAAGTGACTAATTATTTGATAAATTTCTGATGTGATTAAATCATTTTACCAATCTATAGGTAGATGGATAGTATAAGTAAAATGAAAATCAAAAAGAAAATAAACATAGAAGGCACAACCCCTTCCACAGTCGCCCACAATTTTTTTTAAGCGAACTCCAACCATGTGTACCAACATTATTTCAATATGAATAGAGTTTTGTGCACCTGTGGCCTATTGACGATATGTCATATATAATGAATTACATCTCAATGAATATGTCAACAGAAAGTTATTTTTTAAGAAATGGGTTAATGTAATGTGACATGGTTATTTTCATAGTGACTATATACAGTCCTAAAGACCTAACGGAAATCTCCGAATTGTCTTTTGAATGACTTGTCAAAAACACCCACAATCTTACTGATTAACAGCAAGTTACACGCAAATTTGATACACATGGCTGCATTCACTGTTTACATTTAGGTCCACAGAGTTCAACTGTCGACAGACTCGGACAAAAACGAAATATTTCAAAACAAACATTGAATCGACTTTGTCCCATCACTAATCGAAATAATATTTCCGATCAATCATTTCTAACCCTTTAGCAAACAGGTTTTTCTCCTTTAATTATTTATATCAATTTTAATATTGTTTTGGCCTATTAGGCCTTTTGGTAAGTAAGTAACCCTTTATATTTACTGGTACTCGACGATTAAAATAATTTTGTTAAATCTGTTAGTCTAAATCTTAGTATAACCTGCACACACATAGCGATGTCTTTTATGTACGTGTGATTATGACCACCCTGTGTAATATTCTACGGGTGTAATTAACAAGGGGGACACCATATTGACACAGGATTCAACAACACAGATCATAACCACTAGCCAAAAGAACCAGATCAATTAAATGGCGGATTGTGTTGACTTGTAAGGCAATATCACAGTACTTAAAGCCTCTTTGACAGGTACGTGTTGAAGAGCTTGTGGTATTTAAAGTGTTCATACGATAGAACGTGAAGATTATACTCCATGTAAGACATGTTTTACAAGATATCTCGCTTAATATTATATAAGATGCCATTCGTTGTTCTCTTTTTGATACTTTTGTTATCAAAATCACACAAATGCCTCATCTCGGGTGTTGTTATGTAAATGGGCACAAGGTGTAAGTAAAGTTTGAAGAGAGCAGCAAAAGGAATGCAACATGTCGCATTGTGACGTTTCGTCAACAAAACACTTCGGTTAGTTTGATACTTTTGTGTGGGTTATCATACAAGAGAAGAGAATATCGTCCGGGTTGTAGCAGTTCTTCGAATTCCAACCGTCAAGGTGTATATGTACCACATTTTTCATCCATACGACAAACGAGAAACGTTTTCCTTGTTTATGGAAGCCCGTTGCGGTCATTCTATAATTCCTGGTCAGGAATAGCACCTAGTCGTTCGGATTGTATGAAAAACCGAGACCACATGTACACGTTAGCATGTACATAAAATAACTTTTTTGCCGCTCTCCGAGCAAAATGTCCCGACATAGTACACTGCATGCGTGTATGCCTACAGACTGTCTTCATTATGCGGATTGGTTCAGACGTTTAAGTCCATTTCATTTGCTGTGATTTGTTCAGATGTTGGACTGTATATTACGTCATATTATACCTAGTAATGACTAGTATACGCCTAAAGATGTGATTATTAGGTAGCTATGACTAAATATATATTTTTGTATATTTTTTTTTTAATAAATTAAATTGTCAACCATAATAATAGGAAAAGGCGTGGTTATATATCAACATATTGTACTGGGCTTATATTCAATTAAATCTACACAACAGCGTATATTTAACTTCTTTATTCATACTTAACACACCTATCTTGTACCCACACGTGGATTATGATCGTGATAAGTACATGATAAGAAATGGGTATTTGCTGATTTCACCCACTTCCCGTTTGGAAATCAAAATAAAGTATACCTCAAAATAAAGTAGTTTTACATGGCGTCCTACCTATACGACAAATTGGCGTTGAATTTGTTGAATTTCTTTTTTTTTTATGAAATCATTTAAATTTGGATATGATTTGTAGAATATGCATATCTGTTCGTAGCCGATCACTTTATTTTTGTAATGCTGTGAGCGCTATCGACCACAAAACGCTCTTGTTGGCGTAAGACTGTGTTTGTCCAAGTTCTAATTGTCTATAAACGTTTTTCTATTTATTAGGAAATGATTTAAATTTGGATATGATTTGTAGGATGTGTATATCTACATGTATAACATATATTTCCTTGTCGATCACTTTGTGCAATAGTTTGGGCGTTGTCAACAAAAACACTTTTGGCGGTTCTGTAGCCGCGGTGGCTCAGTGAGTAAGACGGTGACTTGCTAACCGGAAGGTCTCGGGTTTGCTCCCGATGTTGGCGAGAAAATTCCTCGGGATTTTCCGGTGTGGTTCCCCCTTGTCAGGGGTGCAGGACGTTAGACCTGACAAGGACCAGTGTCTAGTCGTTCGGATGGGACGGAAATGTGACTTAAACACAATTCTGCATAGCCGAGGATGATGACGGATGCTTAAAACCACAGGTTTATGTCAAAAATAGTATATACATTGTATATAGTATATATCTTGGGGTCCCTGACTACAGCCTATAGGTATATGTTTACGATACTATGTGATTACCTGTAATGGTCAGTGATACCTATAATTCTCTAGTCGGTGGGAAAATCGAACCTTTCTTCCCTGTTATTAGTGTTACCCTGTAATAATACTGTTATTTACTTTTAAAACTTCCCTGTGTATGTTATAAAACATAACTGTGAATTATTAGATCCTTGTTATCACCTTACTTTTAAATAAAAAAAATAGTAAAATTCGCAGCTTTATTGTGACAGTCCAGGCTGTATGAAATTCAGAGCCGGATTAAGATTTTTGTAAGTAATGTGAGACACATAATGTGTGTAATGCATCAGGTATTTTTACCCACCGAACACATTATTTATATTTG